GAGGGCAAAAAGTACATCTCCCTGGTGTCGACCGGCACGAATCCCACGGACATTGTCGTTGAGCCCGAATCGCGGGTTATGATCTGGTCGACGCTGGAGAACGGCATCCTGGTGGCCTCCCTCGATGGCAGCAACAAGAAGAGCCTGGTGGAGCGGGATGTGGGCTGGCCCATCAGCCTCTCGATGGACTATCCGACGGGTCGTTTGTACTGGGCGGACTATCGCAAGGGGACCATCGAGACGTGCCGCCTCAATGGCAAGGATCGCAATGTTGTGCGACGCTTCGGCAATCGCGAGAAGCCGCAGAAGATCGATGTGTTTGAGGACTATCTGTACATCAAGCTGTACGACCAGAGCATCATCAAGATGAACAAGTTTGGCAACGACAACGGCACCTACCTGCTGAAGGGCTATCGCTCCTCGGACATTGGCATTCTGCATCCCATGAAACAGAACCGAAACAGTAAGTGGCACGTACAGCAGAACAGAACAGTCGTCATCTCTTTTGTTTTTTTCCCAGTAAGTAATCCCTGCCTGAAGGATCCCTGCAAGGCATCCAAGGCCCTCTGCATTCTCTCCTCGGAATCGGCCAACGGCTACAGCTGCAAGTGCGCCGAGGGCTATGTGATGACCGATGAGGGCATGTGCAAGGCCCACGCCGATGTGCCCGACTACTGTCCGCTGCAGTGCAACTTGGGCTCCTGCCAGATCGTGGACCACGTGCCCAAATGCATTTGCCAGTCGCACTTCGAGGGCGAACTGTGCGAGCACTATCGCTGCTCCGGCCACTGCCTCAACTATGGACTGTGCACGGTGGCGCCACAGCTGCCGGGATCGCTGGATGTGCCGCCACTCAAGTGCACCTGCACGCCCGGCTGGTCGGGCGCTCGTTGCGAGACCTCGCTGCCGGCCTGCCAGAGCCGTTGCCACAACGGCGGCTCCTGCCTCATCTCCGAAACGGAGGGCATGAAGTGCAGCTGCCCGGACATGTTTGTGGGTGAGCAGTGCGAGCATTGCCTGAATCTCACGTGCGAGAACGGAGGCGTCTGCCGCGAGACGTTGAACGGAACGCCGCAATGCGAGTGTCCCGACGGCTATACGGGCAAGCGGTGCGAGATCAATGAGTGCGCCGACTTCTGCAAGAACGGGGGCTCCTGTGTGATCGGCTCGAAGGGGCAGCGGCAATGCAAGTGTCCCAGTGGCTTCTACGGCGAGCATTGTGAGTCCAGCTCGTGTCGGGACTACTGCCAGAACGGAGGAACCTGCTCGGAGCGTGGCCGCTACTTGAACTGCGTCTGTCCCTCGCGCTACTATGGCAGGCGCTGTGAGATGGATCTCTGCCTGACCTCGGATCCACCGCGCTTCTGCGAGACATCGCAGGTGCCCACCAGAAATCCCTGCACTGGCATCATTTGCCAGAATGCCGGCACCTGTCACGTCATCAAGGGCGCGGCCATGTGCAACTGCACGGATCAGTGGAACGGCGACTTCTGCACCATGCCCGTGCTGGAGGACAATCCCTGCATACGGTACTGTGCCAACGGGGGCGTCTGCCACCTGGACGAGTACGTTCGGCCCCACTGCAGCTGCATTGGCGAGTGGCAGGGCAATGCCTGTGAACTGCCGCCGCATTGCGTGGGCGGGGTGTGTAACGTGTGCCACCCAGGCAGCTCCATCAATGAGTGCCTCTGCTCGCCCCAGAAAGTGGTGCCATGCCTGACGGACAGTGCGGAAGGTGCCTTGAAGGGCGAACAGGAGCCCTCGCAATCGGGCAGCGTGCTCTCCCTATTGGCGGTCATCTTGTCTGTGACGCTGCTGGTTGTTGCCCTGTTCGCTGGTGCTATCTATTTCCTCAAGTGAGTTATCGTCCCTATCCCTCGCGTTGCGTTGCGTTGCGCTTATGTTTTCTTTTCTTTGCGGCAGGAAACATCGGATAGCTCAGCCGTTCTCGCATGCTCGTCTGACGGACAACGTGGAGATAATGCTCACCAATGCCATGTATCGCGGGGATGCCGATGAGCCACCCACATTCTCCACCGAAGATGACAAGGTGCGTCCATTATCTAAGTGCTATAAGTCTGTAAATTATGGCAAAATCTTTCATTTGTAGGGGAACTTTGCCAATCCCGTGTACGAATCGATGTATGCGGACGCCATTGTGGAGCCAGCGAGCACGGAAATAGCGCACAGTACGGGTCCGGATGAGCGGAAGGGCCTGCTGCAGCACACACACGACGAGACACACACACCGGACATACTCTGATGATTGACCATCGATGATTCCGATCGAGAGCTGTGCTAGGCGCACTCAATTCTAGACACATCCCAAAACTCCAAAACTCAATACCGATTTGAACTCGAACCATGGACTGATAGCGTAGCCATATTACGAATTTTGTTTGTAAACATTTTGTGTACATTTGTTTCCTTTTTAATTTTTTTATTTTTTGTTTGTTTTAATTTTTAATTTTGAGTTTAAATTTTTGTGGGCTTACCTGTGGGCCCCGCATCCAAAGAGCTCTCACTCAGGCAGCCTTGCAGCCCCCAACGATGTCCTTATATACCTTAACCGGGAATACTTCTTGTCATTCGTTTACAAGTCTAACAAGCAATGAACGCCTTTTGATAATTGAATTTTATATATTGTATTTGTGTATTGTGTATATCTGAAACGTTTTGTGGATCTGTAAATTTAGTAGTTGGTAGACTTAGTTGAAGCTCACGATCTATCGAGAACTTTGTAAATATTTTATACATTAATTGCCCAACAAGCAGCCTAGTTAACATTTAACATGAAACAAATTAACAACCAAGAAAAAGCACTCACTAAATCCCCTATGCCAATTAGTGAACGAAACGAAACTAAATGAAACGAAACGAAACGAACAATTGTGAAACGAATTCATCTTTTGAGAATGACCAAAAATGCATTTAAATAAATCTAGTGTTCACAAGATTGCCAGAATGGACGATACGATCAAGGAATACCTAATACAAACCTAATGAACAAACTGCATAGTCGATATGCATAGAATAAGTGCATTAACACATAATTAAACACAATTATTGTATGTTAATTCGTATATCTAACTCATATGCGAGTACGAACACGTATCAATATTTAGATTGCACAATTTTCAATCCAATCCAACTCAAGCCGAAAGCAAATCGAACCGAACCGAACCGTACCGTACCGAGATATCCTGTATAGAATAATGCTCAGAACAACAACAACAACAAAAACGCCAAATTTTAACAATTATACAATGTAAAAAAATTAATAAAAAATATACAATTAAAATATATATTATCATAAGCAAAGTGCGAGAACGATTTACTATGCGCACGAAAAACAAAGTGCACACTGGAAAACCATTGTAAAAAAAATAAAATACATACATAAATATTCAATAATATTCGCAGTGGCTGTGGAGCCAACGAGTTTTCCATCCTGGGAAAGGATTTCTCTTTCATTTCGCTTTCAAGGAGTACAAGGAGTGTGAGTGACGCGTGGTTTACTTCCGCTTCGGTGTGTCTACCTGCAGGATCCCTGGGAAAACTAAAGGAAATACTTTTCCACATCTTCGAGACCCATCTACTTATATGAATGTATGTATCTTCCATGATGATGAGATACTGTGCGCCCGGGTTGCGCAAAGCTGTTCAATCACGGCCATCGCACGCCTATTGATACGATACGAATACACTTGTTACCCACAAGAAAACCAAATCAGCAGAAAGGAGCCAGAGATACGAATAACTGGGCCCATTCAGACGGTTTGCGTGAGAAATGCAAGCGATTTGAATTTGCTGCACAGGTAGATGGGTAGCCGGGATACATTTCAGTTCCGTTGAGTCTTTTCTTGTAGCGAAAAAGAATTGGAAAAGGATCACAGGGGCATATTCAAAGTGCGGGATCGGAATCTCTCTCTCTCTGCGTGTGGGTTTGTGTGTGGGAGAGTTCCAGCTAAGCACCGCATGACTTTGTTGTTTGCAAGGATAACTCTATTGTGGCCCCAGGAATTTTGGCTGTGGGAAAATCTTTGCCAACAATGTGCAGAGTTTAAGAATTTTTCGCAAGTTAATTTGGTAAATGACAATTAAATATGTTGTTAGGAAACCAGAAACAATGGCTGAAAGCAGGCGCTAAGATGATAAAGGAAGACCTATTTTTGGGCAAAGGAATTGTATCGGTAAGGTAACTTCTTCAAAAAATTATAAAAAATTCGGATAGTAAATTCTGATTCCCACAGACCGAAACGAAATCAAAAGTAGAAATAAGAGTGATAGCCACACAAACCGACACAGGGGCACATTCATGGATAGCCCAAGATATTCCCCCTCCCATCCAAGTCCCAGTCCCAGCATCAAATCACAGCAAACACAGCGCACACAAAGGGAAGAAATCGAAGGATCCGTAGAGACAAGTGGAATGCAAACAGGCGAGACGAGACGGGTCAGGACGGGACGGGTGGGGAGGGGGGACGAACAAGCGAAGGAGACCTGCGAACAACCACAAAGCAAACAAGCAAAGATAAAGGATCTCAAGGATGTGTGGGAAACATACACGAAACAAGTGCAACGGTATTTGGAAATGCAAAAGGATAATAGCGTAAAAAGGAAATGAAAATTATCATAATTTTGTCTCTCTCTTTCTCTCTCACTCTCCGCGCGGGAGGTGTTGTTGTTTTTCTCACAGCATGGATCGAGTAACAGCAGCAGCCTCGGATTCGGATATGACTGAGTGTGGGAAGGGCTGAGCAGCGGCGAGGGATCCGAAATCCGAAGACGAACATCATCTCGAGAAGGTGGAGGCGTCGCCGTATAACTGGCGATGCGACGCTCGACAGCCACACGCAAGGCAGCCGCAGGATTGGATCAGGATTGGATCAGGCTGTTGCGGAAGCTATTACGGAAGTGAAATCAAATTTTTAACTAAAAAAAAATACCCGAAAGGGGAAACGAATAATGGGGATGTAAATCAATTTGTAGCTGGCAACTTTATTCAATCACTTTCATTTCCCTTCGCCCCTCCACACAATTTCTATTGCTCAGCTTCTCCATTGTCTTGGGTATAGCCGAACAATCGCTTGAGCATGTTGTAGATAATCATTTGTCGCGTCACTTCCGCCTCGTACTGCATATAGTCCTTGAGGCGATGCTGCTTGTACAACTGATCCAGTAGATCGAAAAGTTCCACTTCGAGGGCTCGCAGTGGCGCCTCCAATTCAGGTGTATGTGTGCCAGAGACCAGTGCATGCATATAGATCGTTGAGATCTTCTGCAGTGCCTCATCCAAGGAATTCAGTGTCGCATCCTGGGAATCGTGCAGTAGCTTAACGGGTCCGGTCAGCCTTGGCGAGGCCCGATATGTGTGCCACCGATCGTCAGGATCAGTAGCCAAGCAGATCAGCGGCAAAATTGCCACAATTAGTATTGTTTGCAATGTGAAATTTCTGTACGGCATTGCGAAACTTGTATATTTATTCGATTACTCTTTAGTATAGATTGCCAGGAAGCTTCAACACACGCCTGAAGATCACTGCGTGCTCTGGTCTGCAATAGCTTTTCGTGTTTGGCACACTGAACGAGAGGGCTTCTCTTTATATAGCGATAGATCGTTTGAGGGACCCTGTAGTTGGGTTATCTGTTCAGTCGATTAGTGCAAGATCGCCGGGTTATTTCCGCAGCATAGATAGTGCGAATGCAATTTCCGTTTTCTAGATCTAGGGTTCAAGACTCCCTCGCCATGGGTCAGCCAATGCATTTCAAATGATTAAGTGTGTTCCCAGTTATTAAAAGAGAAACTGCCAGAAAGATCGAATATCAGATGTTGTCTTGTTTTTGAGCATTTATCATTTATTATCATTATTTTCACTCTTTTTTCCGTCATATCATCAATTGTCGCTTCTACTGCAAATTATGATTACAAAACTTTGTATTAAAAACACTACCATAATTGAAACGTGAAAAACTTAATGCTATGCTTTGAAACGCTATACAAGAAAAATCTACATAACTTAACTTAAAAATACATCAGTAAAATGAGCATTTAAATAGGGAGAGAGAAATGACAAAAACTTCATTAGTCAATGAACTACATAATAGTAAAAGTGTTTAATATAAAAATGCTTAAATGAGAATTACATAAAAAATATACAAAATCACAGCTGAACTTAAAATAAAGAAAGCGAAACATAGAACATGGAAAAAACATACATAATTAGATATACATATATCGTATCGTAGAAACTTAATGGGTTCTAAAGCATTTGTTGTTGTCGGTTGGATGTTCGAATAATTGCGATGAAATAAATTAACAATTTGAGAATAAACTTAACATAAAACTTTGTCGTCATCATTCATCATCTATGCGTATATCTGATTTGTCAGATCTACCAGGGCCTCCACGCGGAGCTGGACTTATCGATGGCCGCGGCCAGGAACTTCTTAGACGAGGGTTCGTCCAACGAACAGTCACTAGAATCGGCCTCTGGCTCCGGCTCTACCTCTGCCTCCCGTTCCCGCTTCGCGTGTCCGCTGGTGGAGCTCACTTGCTGCTGCTGCAAGTGGACCAGGGAGCGCGAGCATCCGCTGCTGTCGTGGCTGCCGGCACTTAGGTTGAGCGATCCGCTTGTGTTGAACGACGTCTCGGCGCTGGTCGGCGGCGGTGTGGAGAAGACGCCGGCGAAACTGTGCTTGGCCAGCACATCGACGATCGGTGAGGCGGCCCGGGACTCATCGCCATGGCTCGAGGACATTGAGGAGATGGGGCTCAGTGGTGGACTGCTGGTGGGAGTGTTGCTGCTGTTCTTTACCGGCAGCTGTGTCTGAGCCGGGATCTGTGTGTGACTCTGGATCTGGCCAGTGGGAGCTGTCGAACTTGGAGGCTTGCTGAAGGCGCTCAGGCGGAAGCTCTGTGCGTAGTCGCTGAGATGGGTGGGATTCGCAATGTTGGCCAAGGCGGCGCTGGCCGGACCTCCCGCCGTGGCCGCTGTTCCAGGCCAGACGAAGGGTCCCGCTGGTGGAGCCGTCGCTCCCGCCGTATTGGGCATGATCAGGGCGAACTCCCCGGATGGCAAGCGTGAGGGGATTAGCTGGAGGCCACCCATTTGTATGGATGGCGGCGTGGTCTCCGTCCGGCTGTTGTTGTTCAAGTCCTGCGGCAGTGAGGGAAACAGCGGAGCGGCGGAGGCAACTCCACCCACGGCGGCTGGGAATAGTCCGGCGGGCATCTGGCCCCGATATCCACTGCTGAAGTTGCTCATCGAGCCAATCTGCTCCAGACTGTTGGCACAGTTGTTCAGATGGGCATTCAGCCGCTGGCGCACACCCGTGTCCACATCCAGCTGGCTGACATAGCGATTCACCTCCTCGGCGCACTCCACGAAGCCCGTCTTGAACTTCTGCACCACTCCGGGATCCGTCTGGATGGCCATGTTCAGCTGCTGGCGCTGCACAGACTGCAAATGCTTCACCGTCATCTCGAGTATGTCGGCCTTCTCCAGTTTGGTATGGCGTGCCGGCTGAAACGGGAGGAGAACCAAGGTAAGATAATGATGAGTTGAATGTTGAAATTGAAGCAAAAAGAATGGGTGTGTTGTGCGGTGGAGTGGGGTGGGGTGGAGTTGGTCTAAGCCAAAGCAGAAGCCGCCGCCGCTGCCGTCTGGCTAATTGTTTTGCCGGAGATGAGATCCCACAGACCCAGACCCAAACCCAGACTCTTACTCAGTCGCTGCTGCAATCCCAGTCGCAGTCCCTATAACAAGTTCAATGCCTGGGAAAAAGTGAAGTTAAGGAGCACGTTTCGTGCCTCATATGTCCAACTATTCGTGTGTAATCTCTGCCCCTGGCCCTGGCCCCGCGGTCCAACTTTGTGCCGGACCACTCTGCAAATATCACACGACTAAGGTGAGATACAACAGCAACAAGAAGGGAAGACCTGCTTCGATAGCCGAGCCATTTGATACCCTTGTGGATTGATTGTTCCCCTGGCAGATAAGTATTATATAATAATCTGATTTTGACTATTTCGGTTTTTATACAGTAACAGACAAACGGATGGACATGGATCGAGCATATACTATGCACATTTGTGTAAAGTTTCTTCTCTGTTTTGCAAACATTTGATGCACATCGTAATACCTTTTGAAAGGGTAAAAGAACGATCTTCGTTCTGTGATCTTTTCCCATTCTCTGGCCTGGCCCTTTCCCTTTCGCTCTGCTGGCCCTCTCTGCCTGGCCGGGCTGTCTCTTTCTCGCGCTCTGGGACTGCATATTTTAGCAAAAGTTTCCCACGCAGGTCGCCCGCTTCTTTCGTGCTCCTCTCCCCCTGCCCCTGCCCCACCTGGCTGGACTTGTCTGAATCTTTTGTTTACTTTTGCTCTTTTTCCTTTCCCTTCTTCAATGTCTTTCTTATTTGATTTTTTGGACCTCATCTTCGTCGTCATCGCCCTGGCCGGCCTCCCGCTCGCTCTCCTGCGCAGAATTCTGCGGCGGCGAATTTTGTTTTATTTTTTTCTTTTTATTTCTTTTTTATTCTTCTCTCACAGCAGGATCACTCCTGAGGAAACTGGTTTCGGCCTGTCCTATCCGTCTGTCCATCGATTTCTGCGTAATTCCTCGACTTGTTAACACTTTTTGGTCTCTTGACTGTCTCTGACTCCTACTCCGTCGTCGTCGGCGCTCTCTTGTAATGATCATCAATAAAATTTAATACTCAATTAGATTGTTGACTCTGCCTCTTGTAGGAGTTCGTTTCTCCAATTTTTTGTGTGATCCTTTTGTACTCTTGCCGCCGTCGGACACTTGAGTGTGTGTCTCAAGGGGTTTTTTTTATGTACAATATGTGGGATCCGACATAATTTATGGGGAAAGTGAACTGATATGGATCATGGGCCCTAGTTTCTAAATCACTGCTACAGCACTTTGTTTGGGTCATTTCTCTTTGGGTCAAGTCGGTTAAACGGCGAATACTTACGTCCTTCTTCATGGCCTCCAGTATGAGGGATTTCAGCTCGTTCAGGCAATGATTAATGCGAGCCCTGCGACGTTTCTCCATAATGGGTTTGTTGGTCTGTAAAATGGATGAGAGAAAATTCCATTACTGAATTGAAATTAAAGTCCCTCTCGAATTGCACCATTATCGCGGTATTTCATCACTCCATCTTTCATCTATCCATTTACAAGCCACCACACTCTCACCTTTCTCAGCTCGGCCTTGGATAATCCATTGGGATTGGACGTACGTCCGTTGCTGCCATAGCTGTCGCTATATCCATTCGAGCAGTCGAAGTCGTCGTCCGAATTGAGATCGTGTTTGTAATCCATTTTGATCTTGTTTCAGCTCAGTTATATATCCAAAATATTGTGGTAATCCAAAAGTGTTTAGCCGATCGTTCAGCTATCGTTTTTAAAATATGTTTTTTGTTTTGTTTCGTTTCGGGTTTTTTTTTCACAACACTAAAACTTTGGTTCAAGTACGAATATAGTTTCAACAATTATTGCACGTACTTTTTTCCGAATGTCCAGAACAACAAAAAACTTAACAAATGTTCGCGTTTATATTTCAACTTATCGTACGGTTCATGCGGAGAGAGCGAGCGGCAGAGAACCGCACACACGAGACGCAGAAAGGATAGTGATCCTCGACCGAGCGAGGCGCTGAATAAAAACGAAACGCTTCGAAGGCGAAACGGGTCCCGAATTGAGCCGAGCGACGTCTAGCAACGATTACCTGAACACGAACACTAAGCAGAGGCGAAAGAATAGCGCAGCGCAGCGCAGGTACCCGGCTCCCGCTCGCGTTCTCTGAGTTTTTTGGGGTGGTTATGCAGACTGAGAAATTCCAGTGCAGTGAGACTCACTCAAAACGCGGGCAGTCGGGGCACTGGGCTCGCGACTTTATAGTACGAGTATAATATAGTATTCGTTGAGTACCGAGTGAAATGAGTGCCGGCAGAGTTGCCTAGTCAACTTATGGCATGCTGAGGATCGGGGGATTACCCAAGATCTTAGCTTAACCAAATAAACGATCCTAAGTCCAACACAACATTCAGAGTGAAGCCAAGTCATTAGGCGAGAGGGCAGCTGGCAAATATTTGAAAATATTTGTACACTCGTATATTTCTGCTCAAACTGATTCGGATTCTCACCCTATGAGGGGATAGAGCAAACTTAATCAATGCCCGTCCAATGATTTGCAATTCATTAAGCATAGAATTCCTTGGCAATTGTTCCGGGGTTGTCTTTTGCGATCCTGGAGACAGAGCGCAGCTGTCTCGCGCAACCCCCGAGACACAACCCAACCCAATCCAACCCCCTTGGAAGACGAAGGTCTTTCTGCCTGCTCTCAGCCGCATCGCATCGCATCATATCATCTTAAGGGGGTTGCTCTGGGCTCGGCTAGGGGTCCGGTTTGGGTTCGGGGTCAATCATTACCGAAGCTTACCTGATTTGGCCAGTTTTTATGAGCGATCACCGTTCTTGGTTCGGGCAGATTTGCGTCCTCAAGCCAAATTTATTACTTTACAATGTTGGG